AAAAAGCAGTTGATTCAAAAGCCACTTATTGAAACAAAGTAGAAATACTACTAGCGGCATTTAGAAGCTTTCAAGGCTAGTTCAGTGCAATAGAATAGAAGGTTATAAAACGGGGGGAAAAAAAAGAGCAACACACCGGTTTCAGACCAAGCTTGGACATAATTTTCCTGGCTTTCTTTTCTCCGCGGGTTTGCTTGGCTTTGCTGATGTCAATTGGAAGCCCTGCAGCGGCAGCTGCAGCTGCACCACCAGGGAAGTTAATGCCAGATCCAGCACCAGTGTCGTCCAGCAGTTCTGGTACGCTAACATCAGAGTCACTGTCAGTGCCTGATGCATCAGCGTCTCCTGAAGCTCCAGCAGCAACCGGTTCAGTCGCTGCTGCAGCACGTTCAACCTCAGTCTGTTCAGGCATTGTGAGTGGGAGGAGCTGCAAACTAAAGAACAAAGATTTGTTAGAAAATAAAATGCAGAAACATTAGGTCGAAAATTTTGAAGCATGAAACATAACATGATAGAAACAATGGAACATAATGCCTAAACAAGCAAGCGATGAACCTATCACAAAGTAAGTGCACGTTTTGGGCGTTTATGTATCAGCCGCCCGACTACAAACAACGCCAACATTGTATACATCTTACAGGGATAAACAAAGACAAAGTTCCCAAAACCTCTCAAAACGCACCGAATGGCCTTCAGGTTTAGAGAACCGGCGTGCTGAAGTGCGCAACTTAGCATCAGGTATTAAAGAAAAAAAAATCTTAGGATGAAGAACGAAAGGATGGGCATCATAACCTAGTTATGAGTCAACAACAAAACAATAGGCCTACAAGTGTAGAACATAGGAAATAAAGAACAACAGACTGAAGAATAATACGTTCATAGAACACCACATTTGCTTTCCGAAAATTAAAATGATTGAAGTCTAATCGTGAAAACACAGGATCAGAAACCACCCGGACGGTACCGGGCACGCTGAAACGAGTGAAACCATTCGAAAACTCTATTAACAATTTTGATTTTGACGCATGAGGGATAAGAAAATGTTCGATCGTCCAGATTAATTCGGCAAAACTTTCAGATGGACTGACCAAGATAGAATTTTTACAGATAAAATACGCAATTCACCTTGTGCCTGTAGGGGTGATGGGCTCTGGACTGAGCGGGAAAGGAACCGGAAAGTAAGAATATTAGAATTCGGTTTGAACTCACTTTGACCAACATAACTCACTTGAAACACGAGCAAAGCACCAACACAACTAACTCAAAAATCGAGTAAACACCCAGTGAAAATATCAGCACGACAAATAAAAACTCAAAAAATTATGATTGATTGTTATCGAACACACTAGCAACGCCATAGTTCTAAAATTAAGTTATAACTATCCAATAACATATTTTTCCAGAGTTGTCGTTCTTTTGTATAATCATCCCGCGAAACTGTGTCACAATTCAAATTGAGCGCTCGTGCGACCAGGATATATAGTGAATTTAAAGGTTTGTGCTTTCATGTGAACTGAGCATACTCTCCGAAAGCGAACATGTGTGCTGCGTTAGCACTGGTAAACAATTATCAAGAGAAAATACCTGGCACAGGTAATCAAAGTAACACAAATGAAAAATTTAACCATTTATTTAAGAGAACACACACACTTCCAGTTTTATTATAAAAAGTCCTATCACATATTGAACAACTCAAATTTCACTCAAATTCAGAACATTCATTCAATATAGATTTCACTCAAGCAAGACTCAACATAACATAAAGCGGAAAACCCACATATATCAAAGTTTCATAAGACATTGAAAGAGTTCAATGAACTGGACCATTGAAAGTAGCTTTGATAATACAGAAAGGTTCCACGTACATTCTTTTAAGACTTAACAAAAATAATATAAATCTAATCTAAGGTTGAACTTTTCTCAATTCAAGAACTTCACTAAAAAGAAATTAACACTTCCCTAAAGAAATTATAGTTAGATCACAACACTATCTAGAAAATTAAGATGCTTGGAATCAGAAATAAAATTTTGAAATGAAAAATACAATAATGCAAAATAAAATTATATATGTGATCCAGACAACTCTATTAAGATCCAAATGATCCATTTCCAACAAAATAAAGGCAGAATCTGATAGCTTCCAATAAAAGTTGATTGATTTCCAAGAGTAAACAAAAGTACAAATTGGTTTCCCCCCCAAGTGAAATCCAAACATTATCAACAGTACGCAAATTTTCTTATGAGGTACATTGAGTTAGAAAGTTTTTTCGAGTTGAGCAATTATAATGTACGACAACACAAGACTTAGGACAATGAAGTTTCTTGCACACCCTAAGCTCCTGTTTAAGTTAGCATGAGAGCAGATGGTATGGAATGTGAGAGCATGCCTACTGGCAATCACAAAACAAGATATTTTGGTGTTAAAACAAATTTGTGATAAAGTTACTGTACAGTAACAAAAATAACAAGAAAATTTAAGAATAATTTTCAATGTTTCTGTTGAACTACGTATGCAATTGTTGGCTTAAAAATGAATAGCAAACTTCCCACAGATGAGAAGTAGTAGTAAGAGTTGTTGTAGTGTAATGTTAATGATGTATCAGTCACAAATATTATGCTTATGTACAGAATTGAAAAACTATTCTGAGCAGCCACACAAATCGCAATACTATTCAGATAACAATAATACAAATCTGATGTTAAAATGAACAATGTGATTTAAATACATTCAGAAAATTACCAAAGAACAAGATCAAACAAACATAATATTGTAACCAGACTTATGTAAAGACAGACACATTCTAATATTTTAGCTTGAAATGAAGAACTACCATGGGCCTCCTCGAATAGGGCTCACATAGTACAACTAACTTTAAAATTTACAAAACAAACAAACAAAAAAAGATAATTAAAAAAATGAGGATTTTTTCAGACTGTTTTATAAAACCAACATTCAATAGAGAATTTTAATGAATGGAATGATTGACTTGTCAACTTTGATTTCATGATGATGTAGATATTTTAGAAAAATTTCTTTGCCTGGGCTTCTTTGCTGTCCCTGAAATCATAAATAGTTGTAAATGTTATCAAGCAATGAAGGATGTACTACTTGAGAGTCAAACAATGACAATAACAACTTTGAACAACTTCCAGAAATGAAAATGGTAATGCTTACCTATACATAAAATATCCAAATAAGAGAGTTAGCTGAACAACTCCAAACACCAAAAACATTGTGGTGGTGAGACAAGTAGGGCAGCTTCCACCTGCTGAACCACCTCCTGGCATATTACCCAACTTTGCGGATGCTGCTGCTACATCGCGCTTTACAGTGTTGAGGCCATCCCGCATCTCATTAACCAAAGATGTCATGTCATATCCAACAGACTGAACCTGAGCTGTAGGTTGTCTTGCTTGGTTGGAAATAATGGTGTCAGTGCGTGTTCTGACATCAGTAACAAATGCTCTAAACAGAACAAAATGCTTATTTAAAACAAGAAACCATTGTCAATCTACAAGCAAAACTGAAACACAAACTTACACCAAATCACGAGCGGTGGAAAGAATGCTATTTTGGTTCTGAAGCACTACATCTACTTCATGTCGCCTAATTGTGTCAATCATTTGAACAGGAGGCTGGCCTGGTTGCTGTTGAGTAACTGCAAAAGTAAAATTTTAAAGAGTCGCATGTAAGTCCACAAATGCAATAAATGTACATACATTTAAAACTAGTTTGTAATTTAGACTTACCGACAGGGACGCCACCACCTCCTTGTAGAGAAGACATTAGACTAAGTGTGCGCTCCTGACGACCAATAATTTCATCCAATTTTCTGTTGAGTTCCCTGGTAACTTCAAACATCTGACTCTGGCCTTGAAAAATTTGACGAAGCTCCCTTTGATTATCTGACTCAAACCATTCTTCAAATTCATCTTTATCCTTAATTGGAGCATCAGGGTGCTCTTTACGGTACCTTCAAGAAAATCAATAAAAAAACAAAAAACAATAAAATATACAGATATTAGACATGACGTAATATAAACTAGTACCATACTTACACTTCTTTCTGCTGATCAAGTTTACGTTGATAGTCAGCATACTCCTGGGTCAGTTTACGCTGGTCTTCTTCGTTAACCTGAGGAGCCTGAGGTACAGGCATCTGTCCAGGGGCATGAAGACTTGAAGTCAAGAAATGTAAAACATCATGATCGTCAGCTAATCCACCTGTTGCTGCTGATACACCAAAGTAACCATTTTTAGGCAAATGCACATTTTCAGCCCTCAGACACATCTCATATTCCTGGTCGCTAGCAGTCATGCCACTGTGGAATAGCACCTGAAAAGATGAAGTACACAATTATGAAACAGGCTTTTCACAATGATTTATTTTCAATGAGATGAAGAGGTTGAACCCACTGTTAATGTGTTTCTATAATACTCAATCCGTGCTCTTGTTGGGAATGGCTTGTTCCTAAAGTCACGAAGGCATCCTGCGAGAGCTTGGGTGCTTCCATCACTGAGGAAGCCCAGTAACATTTATTTAATAAGTAGGAAAAATAACCTTAATTTAAAAGAATGAGATAATTTAAAATCATAACTTACTTTTGATGATCAAATTCTCGAGTACCATCATTTAATACAGCCATTATGTATGGATTGTTGTGCTTATTGTCATTATCAAAGGAGTCAAATAAAACACCAAGGCCGACCCATTTGTCAGAGCTCCCAAACACTTGCCCATCATAAGCTCCTTTATTTTGAGTAAACCAAAATGCCTGTTAAAGAATTAATTTTAATTATTTTCTTAGTTTGTTTTTGAAATAAGTAGGGAATCGAAGATATTGAAAATATCAAAACTCACAAGACCATCAGCACCAATACGGCCTCTACCAGTGACTCGGAAAACAATATCCACTTCCCACCAGTCAAAGTTTGTGGGGGCCTTCGTCCAGATGGCCCCCTTTTGACTTCTCAGTGAAGGAGCGATTCGAACATTCTCAGCACTAGCAATTGCATCTAGAAGACAGGAAAAAGGTTATTAAAACAATGCTACAATGTAAAAACACATATTGTATTTTATAATAAAAAGTTATTAGCTGTCAATAATTCCAACATAATGGCTTGACAGTAATAGATCACATTATTTATTGGAAAACAAGCTACATTGTTCATCCCAGAAGGTTATAACCAATATTCTTTTTAAAAAAAACAACTTAAGAGAACATAAGTGAAAGTCTTCCCCATTGCAGCAACCGGCTTGAATGGAAAACACCGAAGGTGCGTGCCGGTATAACAGGTGCTTGACACGGTATTTAGGGTTATTGCTATTAAGCAGCCGGTAACCTCCAGTAGAGTTTGCATTTGTCACATAGTATGTGCAGTTAATAAAAAGGACAGCAATATACAGCATTGGAACGAGGAACAGGCATACAAATATACTAGGTCGCAACAGCTGGGAAGAATGTTTGCGTGGAACTCAGATCGGCCAACAAACGTCAACTTACTTCCTCCATATTCCCAGAAGGGAACAGACCCATCTTTTTGTGCTAAATATGGTGGCTTGAAGCTGTATTTGTACTCAAATCTTTTGTGCGGGACTTCCGCAATAATTTGACTAATAACTAAAGCTAAAAATACTGAACAGCTAAGCCACCTCGCTTGCACAGCCATGATCACTACAAGCAAATCTCCGTCAGCAGTCAGCGAGCTGGCTTCTGCTGCCACTGCCACTGCAGTCTACAGCCGCAGCCGCAGCCACAACCGCTACCTAGCGTTCTTTCCTTGTCGCTCTCGAGGCTTTTCCGTAAGGTGCGAGAGAGAGGAGATCCTACTCTTTTGCTGCAGGGCCTGTCCACTCCGGCTACGATAATTTCCTGGGCGAATTCGGAGTTTCGGGGTCCGGACCTGCCACCCCACAAGCCCTCTGCCACGAAAATTCTTCTCGTTGAGGGACCAAATTAGATATTCAATAACGAGACATTAGAGGCTTGAAATGCATTTATCTTTACTCCGAAAACCTTTTTATTAATGAATTTACGGAATTCAATCCTTTAATTGCAGAAATAAGAGTACTTTTTAAGAATATTTTTTTGTTTTTCAAGAATGAACTTTTTTCCCATTTTTTGATTAAGATGATTTTCTTTCAAAAGTAAACTGTTCAAAAATGTTCTTTTTATATTTTAAAAGCGATGGAAGGTTCAAAAGACTTAAATGAACAATATTTCTGTTAATTGTTCTGTGGCTGAGATTGGGTTTATGAATTTTCTTCAAGCAGAGATGCAATCAAGCAGACAACGTAGCTGTCAGCTGTTTCTCTTTGTTTACATTTTGTAGCAGACGA